TGTACACATTTATTTATTTCCCAAACTACAATAAAATTTTCACTTAGTTCCACAAATAAGGGAAAAATATTGCAATTACTGTTTTCTAACTTTATTGGACTTTACTTTTTAAGATAAAAAATGTGTTGTTGAATCATATATTTTGACTGAAAATTATTATACTTGAAATAATTCTATTATTAATTATTTTTTTCTAAACCATATAATATGGAAAAATAATAAAAATTATTTGTTTATATAAAATAATAAAAAATATTTGTTTATATAAAATTTCTAAATTTTTTTTTCTAAACCAAATTAATATGCAAATTATTATTAATTTTATTATAGTTTGTAAATTATAAATATCTTTATATATATAAATATAAAGATTATATGTATAACAAAAAACTATTTAAAGAAAAAAAAATCAAATCTGTTTCGATCAAAAAATAAAAAAATAATAAAAATAAATCAATATATATTTTTAAAATCAATTATAAACTACAACCAACAATATCTAATGTAAAATCAATTAATATATATATATATATATATTATTGCAATGTACTTAAAATTAAATTATATTGACATTTTTGTCAAATTATATTCAATTAATATACAAACTATTATAATTGTTATTATTATATTTTATACTTTTATTTTATGTTTATAAAGTCATTATTTGAAATAGCAAATTTCGGCCTGCCATGTCACTTGTAATTTTTATTATTTTTTGTATTTTTCAATATTAATAATTAGCTGTATCTTTATTCTTGTCAATCACAAAATTTTCAAACAATTGAATTTGTATTACTTAACCAATAACATCACTTTATTTCGTTGTGTTTTGAATATTTTAAAAATTAAAATTAAAATAATTATTTGATATAATATAAATAAATAATTAATATAATATTTTGAATCGAAAATTTATTTTTGATGTAATATAAACAATTTTAAAATATATATGTAATGGATATATATTTTTAAAAAATATTGTAAATAAATAGTAAACATATATACTAAAACACAGACTTAGGATAAAAATTTTCGTCGAAAATCTTACTTTATTCATTGCCAATGATATTTGCGTCGGATGATGTATACGTCGTCAAAAAAGTCATCGCAAATGTCTGACGGCCGATAACTTGTCATAAAATCTACGAAGGAATTTTGTGACTGAATGTGCAAGGGACAATTTCCTTATAAAAAATTATCATTTACAATGGAAATATTCCATCGTGAGATCCATCGCAAAAATTCGCTCTTTGCAAGGAAATAATTCCATCGCAAATTTCGTCGACTCAACTTCTAAATGTTCCATGTCACTCAGTAAACTACCTTTGAAGTTAGCCTTTTGAAGAAGCTGCTCAACTCCATTAGGGGTTCCTAAATATTTTTTACCAATAATTCGTAAAATTCAATCAAAATCAATCGTTGCATGAATACATGACAACCGTAGCTTTTTATGCCAAACATTCAATATTTTGCAATGTTTATGTATCAACCCAAATATGATATATGTACATAAGATATTTTCAATTGTTCAATCCAAGCTAATAACTATTTTTTTACAAGCTTTATCCAATGTGTTGTAGTGACAGGGTAGCATTGCTTGCTAATATCATATTCTAACTCTTTTGTCACATAAAATAGTCATATCCATCCGTGTCTTAACATTTTTTTACTTTGACTATTGACATTCATCACCGTATTGAAAATGTTCTTGAACATATTATATTCGACATGCATCACATCTATATTGTGTTGAATTAACAAGTCCGGCCAATATGACAAGTCCTAAAATATGCTTCTTTACCTCCAACCATATACATGAAATAACGTTTTATTTATATCCGCAACTTCTAATTCGGTAACCTTTAGAATTCTGTAATCATCTATCTCTCAAATTTGTTACTTCCCAGATTTTACACACGGAGAAGACATCACTTACGTTACGGGTGTGTTTGTTTGGGGAATTGGATTTTCAATCCACTATTCCCATTTTTTACCCCAAAAAACATCAAATCAAACTCTTATTTTTTATTTTTTATATTATACTAAAAATCAATTTTACATTCAAAACATCACATCAATACCTATTTATATCACATCATACAACTATTCAAATTCAAAATTTTTACTATTCAAATCCCAACTCAAAATTCAAACCCCCAAATAAACACACCCGTAATTTTCTTCCTGAACTTATTTCTGTTGGAAAGGTAAGAATAGTCATATGGAATAAACCTTCAGTGCGTATTAAACTATGATTACTTATACTTATTCAATAGAGTAAAAACGACTATTTGATCCTAACATATTGAACAAGTAGTTTTTCTCTGAAATGACCCACCTAGACATCATTGAATATTCCGGTAGCTCTCCCATATATGAAAAAAGTTATATAATTAACATATTCTCACCAACAAATAATAAGTAAGTAATTGATGAAGAATTGTTCACCTATAGTGCAATGAAGAGCAACCTCTATCACAAAGTTTTCCTTTTGGGAAGAATCAAACGTTTCAATCACATTAGTTTATAGTTCATTCAATTCTTCAATTAAATGTTGCAAGTAAACATTGATTTTTTTGTTTGGGATTGGCTCCACTAGACAGCACACCGGATAAAAATAAACACTCGTCTTTCAGACACATATTAGGTGGAAAGTTGTATTGTGTTCAACCATAGACTAACATGAGTATTGTCTCTTTGACTGGCCAAATGAATGAAATCTATCCGTGCAAAGTCCTAAGCAAATATTTTTGGGATCAACTCCCAACAAGGGGTATCTCGCATCTAACTCTTTTCATAATGCTGAATCACAAGGGTAACACATATCATTTGCGTTCGCATGCCGATGATCCTCATGCCATATGTGATGTTGTCCGAGATGACATGTATAGTCTCTTTAGTCTCGGTGTAATCAGGAGATCATACATATATCGAATTGACACCGCTCTTCTATTTTTATCTTTATACCGTAGTTTTGTACAAAACTTGTAATTTTCTAAATCATAATCCTCCTTCCAGTATAATATTAAACCGATTTACAATAATCTATTTTTCTTGCAAGGTGATTCTAACCCCTCAGTCTGCTTCTTTATTTCATAAAAAGTTATTTACAAAATAGTTGCCATCGGGCAACATGTCGTGCATGAGTTGGCACTGGACATCAAACCATCTTTTATGCAAGTTGAAGTCAACCTTTATATTCAACATTCTTGCGTCAAATGCAGACCCTCCGACATTCATCATCATTCGAATATAATATATAATCCTCGGATAGGTTGTATTTTTAAAGTTAATTGGCTCAACTTGTTAAGAGCTACCACTTCTGTTATGTTTCTCACCGTGACTAGGGATGGATAAATTTACTGAACATACCGAAATACCGACTTATCGTACCGTATCGTGTCGAAAATACCGAAACTTTAAGTATACCAAAAGTTTCGGTATGGTATGGATATCGTACCGAAGTTTTCGGTATGGTATCGGTATGAATTTTCGGAAAGTTTGGTATTTCGGTATGATACCGTACTGATATTATTTTTATTAAATAATTTAATTATTAATATAAATAATAATTATTAATATTTTTTAAATTATAAAAAAAAATATGTAAACTATTGAAAATTTATTGGTTTTTTCATAATATTTTTGTGGTGGAGAATAGTGATATTTATTATTATTTTTTAATTATTTTGAAATTTAAAATTATATTTTCGGTATAATCGGTATATACCGGTATCTACCGAAATCAAAATTTTCGGTATAAGCGGTATATACCGGTATCGTATCGAAATTTAAATTTTCGGTATAAACGGTATATACCGGTATTGTACCGAAAATTACGGTATACCGAAATTCGGTATATTGAAACTTTCGGTACGATACCGGTATGTATTTTAGTCATATTGAAAAGTTCGATACAGTATCAGTATCGACCGGTATTTTCGGTATAGTACGGTATGCCATCCGTAACCGTGACATGTCCATCTATCATACAATTTTACAATACCCATAGAATATAGATAGATAGAGACATTGTGTTTTTACAATGTTTGCATGGAGTATCGTTGATCTTATATACATTTGGGGGTTGTTCATGCAATAGTTCACAGAGTCATCAACTCCACCAATGGATTCTTTACTCAAAATACTGTTACATATCTTATTATATGTATCCAAGACCTTTTTGGATCGTCCTGTCTAATTTATTCATCATTGAAAAAAAGTATATCAACAAATGTTGATAAAAATAATATTTTTGATTTGCATAAAGTACTGCCATTGGTTAATTTTTAGGTAATATAAATATATTCATGCAATTAAAATACATAAATTAACATAATAAGAGACATATAGAAAGTCTCTTATTCATTATTTTCCGTCTAGTGTCGATATAATACTAATATTTTCATATAAAAAAACAAGTCTATTCTTTTGAGATGGCACGGAGAGAATAATAATTTATACTGTAGTATAATAGATAAAAATTAATTTTATCCCCCAAAACTACTTTGTAAAAATATTTTGTAACGAAGTTAATTATATGCTAATGATAAAATTATTGTAACATGTAAAAATGTTTTCTTATAATATTAGTGGGGGATCATAATTACTAAAGAAAATAAATAAATAAATTTCGTATATATATAAATAACAAAATAAATTAACTAATTTCAAAATATAAAAAATATTTCTAGTACTATTATTTTTGTAATATTACCTCTAAACAATTATTCAAAGAAATAAAGCATCCAAAACACGACTAAATAATCCAAAACACGATTTAAGGAGTCGTCTTGTTGTGGTTGGGTGGGTGGGTGGGTGGCAAAAAAAGTGAAAGCCTAACTTTTCTTTATTACAGATAATTAGATTAAGAAGATTAGATTAGAACCAGTGTGGGCCCGACTTCCCAAATCCCTTTCTCTCTCTACTCTCTTGTTTCTCTCTCTGCACTTTTTATCACTTTTCACATTATTTTATTGTGCCTTTTTGTCAGAAAAATCAATCAATCCCCTTAAAAAATTTCACATCAATTCTTTCCTCCATCATCTGCTCTGTTGTTGCTGCTCTCCTCTCTCTCTCTCTCTCTCTCTCTTCTTCTTCCTCTGCCTCGAGCGAAAAAGTGTTCTCTGACCTGACCTGACCTGACTACCACTGCTGGAAAGGTACAAATCCGATCTTTATTTTATTTATTTTTTTCCAGAAATTTCCAGCAAGTTCTGGTGTGTTGTGGTGTTTGATGAGTGACTTCCAAGCTTGCCTGCAGAGGAGGAACTCCTCATCTAGGTTTCCCTTTATTTCAGTGGTTGGTTTTCATCCGTGGATGATGTTATTATAATTTAAAAGACGATTTTTGTTCGTGATTTGGTGAATTAAACTCCTCTCGCCGTGTTCGGGTATGGAATTTCTCAATTCTGCTCGTGTTTTTTAGGATTTTCTTCTCGATTCGCACTTGATTTTGTTCATTTCCCTTTGAATTCGAGCTTTCGCGAATTAATCGACTATTTACTTTCGATTTTTGGGAACTCACCTGCTATTTGAAAATTTTTGACGGAATTTGTGAATTCTGGTTTGAATTTGGGGATTTTCAGGTTCGAGTTCGTGAGTTGGTAAATTTTCCATCATTTTAGGATGCTTGAAATTTCATGTATATGTATGTATGTGATTTTGTATTTTTGGATTCTTGATTCCCCAACATGTAGTTGAGACTTGGAACTTTTTGATCTCTTTTTCAATCCGAAATGGATTTATTTCACTATTATTCTTTTGGCATATCTGATATTTATTTCTCTTGCGAATGAACATATCAGCAACGAATTTGTTCTTCGCAATGATTTTTATATTTGTTTGTAGTAAAGTAACTTAGCTGAGGGAATTTGTACTGCCTCCTTTAGGAATTTGTTCCAACTTTTTTTCGATTTTCGACTACGCATTCGTATCTTGTGATTGGAGTTTGGATAGAATTTCTTAGCCATTTTCTCTATGCACTATCTGATTTGGTTGACTTTGGACGTCGAATTCGATGTAATTTGCTTTACGGTTTCGATACAGATAGGTGGATTGGTTCGGATTGGATAACCGGATTGGAAAGCCGTTGTGTTTTTTAGTTAGGGATTTCGGTGAAATTGTGGTATGGATTATCGTTGTGATTTCTGCGGGGAGAAGAGATCGGTAGTGTACTGCCGATCCGATGCAGCAAGTTTGTGTTTGTCCTGCGACTGCAACGTCCATTCGGCGAATGCTCTTTCCCGGCGTCACACGAGAACACTTGTTTGTGAAAGATGCAATTCGCAGCCGGCTTTTGTTCGATGTATCGATGAAAATGTATCTCTTTGCCAGAGCTGTGATTGGACTGGCCATGCCGGTTCGAATGAGGGTCCTGGGCATAAGAGGCAAACTGTTAGCTGTTATTCGGGATGCCCTTCTGCTGCAGAACTTTCGGAAATTTGGCCTTTTCTTTTGGACTTACCTTCGGTTGGAGATTCAACTTGTGAGCAGGGAATGGGGTTGATGAGCATTGCCGATAACTGGCCAATGGATAACCAAAGCTCACGAGGCAAGAACGAGGTTCGAGAAAAAGGATTAGTTGAGGAAGCCGGCGAACATGGCATCGTGAATGTGGAGAAATCGACGATTTTGATGGAGTCTTTGACTCCGTTTCTTGATTCGAAGATGCACCATCTGGATCAGTCAACTACTTCTTCTGTTCCAAAGGTATTCGACTCGATGATCATTTTATCTAAAAGTTTAGACTCATGCGTACTTAAACTTCACCTAAAATTTTAGATTCATCGAGCGAGCGTCTTATTGTATATATTATATATTTGTTCTTTGATTAGTCTTTTAGTGCCTCGACGATATTTCAGCCTTTGATGTATTGCGTTTTTATGTGTTTCTATGGAAGTCTCAGTTGTTCGATCCTTTCATATTGAACTACTACATTGAACCTTTTGTTTTTGTGGTTCTTTTTAAGGCTTTTTTTTTTTTTAGTCTCGATTGAATTCGCAAATTGTTTTCAAGATTGAGGAACTTAGCTAATGTTGCAATGTTTTTAGGTCTCGCCTCTTTCGATTTCGAGTAATGTGTCCTAATTTCGTAGTTGGTTTCAAGGATCATTAACCAGTTGGTGTTCATGATTATTATACCGATCCGTTTATCTACGTCTCTGTTTCGATTAAGACCGGTCGTTTTACATATGCAGCAGGTTCTCTTATCCGAAGGGAAGGGTCCTTCCGTCTTTGATGATGAAGGGCTGTACGATGATTTCAACATGGATGAGGTCGACTTGAGAATCGAAAACTACGAGGAACTTTTCGGTGCCGCCCTTGACAATCCCGAGCAGCTCTTTGCAAACGACGGAATCGATGGTATATTCGGGACAAAGGACATTTCTGAATCCAACTGTGCCGGTGCACTCGCCCCCGGGGTACTTTTTCTCGATCAAATTTTCTAAGATTGTTGTCACTTTTTCGTATGATATCCTTTCGATGTTTATAGTCTAAACGTTCGAGTAGTTGTCGTTATAGAATTTTTGCTCAATTGGTTTGTTTATTGCCGCTGTGGTCCGGAAAAGATTGTTGTCTAACCTTAAAGTATCGATTCTTAGGGTTCGAAAATCAGAGGGACGAACAAGATGCAGCCAGCATGCAGCAATGCTGCTTCGGCGGATTCGGTGTTTAGCTGTAAAACTGATCCTAACTTATCGTTTGCACGGCAAGCACATTCGGGATTATCGTTTTCCGGTCTTACGGGAGAAAGCAGTGCCGGAGATTATCAAGATTGCGGTGCATCTCCGTCGATGCCGATCATGGGAGAGCCTCCATGGCACCCTCCAGGTCCCGAAAGCTCGACCCCTTCTAGCCGTAGAAACGATGCCGTCATGCGTTACAAGGAAAAGAAGAAGGCGAGGAGGTAAGAATTTTTATCGATACCTTCTCGTAAAAGTACTAAACCTTATACGTCGTCCGTCTCACGTGTATTGTCTTAAATATTTGGCAAAACACCATAAAACACACTTGGAGTTTATGAAAATTGCATGAACTCCTTTATTATCTAAAAATTGCTTAAGATTTTCTTATAATTTCACCTGTATCTAATCTTCTTCCGTCATTAGTTAACGGTGACTGTGTAGCTACAAAATTACCATTAACTAATGCGGAACGAGGTTAACCGCAGATTTTTTAAAATTATTAGGGAATATGACGTAATTTTAAAACAACGAGGGTGTTTTGTGCAATTTCATAAACCATGTGTTGATTTTATGTTGTTTTGCCTAAATATTATTGTAGTAGATTTTTAAAAATTATATTGATAAGTTAGTTTGTGTAAGATGGAAAGGTTTGAAATACTATTGAGTTTAGTGAATTTAAGGTGCATAGTGGGACTATATATATATATTTTGATAACGTGAGAATCCATAGCTGCTACCCTTCGGATGCATTCTGGATAAACCTCCGGCCAAATATAATAGAACGATATTTTGATAAATAAAAATAAGAGGGGAGTATATTGATAAATTGAGTGGGGACTAAGTAAATTAGAAAAAGGAATGAACTATTTAGATGAGGGTGCGGATCATCTGTTGATCTAATCGAATCGGCACCCCCAATCAAATTAGCATGGTGCCAATTTGATTGGATCAGAATATCACATAAATGCATACAATATATATATATATATTTGCATAACACAACATATGGTGTATTATAAAATATCATATGCTGAATTATAACATAGTATAAACTGTATCATAAATATGCTATGATAGTATATAATATATGGTGATTTGATCGGGTCAGCACTCGATCTGTAGCCTTAGATGAGACAACCCTAAATGATAAATGAAACAATACATGTGAGACAAAGTATATATATTTTTTACATTTATAAATATCTTTACTCTTATCGATGATGCGACAGATTCGAAAAGAAAGTACGGTATGCTTCGCGCAAGGCGCGAGCGGATGTACGGAAACGAGTCAAGGGACGGTTTGTCAAGGCCGGGGAACCTTACGACTACGACCCGTTGAGCCCGAGCCGCAGCTTCTGATAAAATAATGAAAAACTTAAATTCTCGCTTCGAGCATTCGGAGGCAACCTCGTTCGCTCGGACCATCCATCCTCAACGGGAAAAGAACCCCGACTCCTTGTCGGGTTTGCCCCGAGAGTGATGGATGAACTTGCTCGATGGTACGTTCCTTAACTTATCTACATTGATTGGCTCGTAAAAAAACTTACGTTTTGATGTATGTCGTATATATATATATGTATGTATGTATGTATGTATGTATATGTGAACATAGCTAGTGTACATTACGGTTAGGAAAGATATATGTTCGACGACTTGAAATGGGCTTCGGTTGGTCGGGGGTTTATCGAACGTGGTTTTTGTCGCCGGTTGGTCGATTGCGGTGGTTGTCGATGTTGATGATGGCAGCGGCGGCGGCAGCCACGGCGACGGTGAAGGTAATTGTGCGTGTAAATGGTTGTGTGTAAGTTACTGTGAGTTTTGATGAAGGATTCATTTCATGGGGAGATATTTGTGAAGGATTTTTGGGGCCATGAGATGTTTTGGTTTAGCCAGATACCTACACACATACATAAGCCTTTTCTTTTCCTTTGGTGCTGTAATAATCCTATGTTAGTTGTTATTTTTGTATTATTATTATTATTATTATTTGTTGAATAAAATTTGATCTGTAAATCATGCATGTTTGTTTTTGGTGTTTGTTTTATCGTGGTTTAAAATTGATTTAAAATCGAGATGTTGATTTAAATTTTTATTTAAATAATATTTTGATACAATATTTTAGGAGAGAAAATAACAAGAGAATTAACCATTGATTATTAGTCGGAGTTTGTGGATGATATTAGTTGGAGTTTGTGGATGATAGTCGAGACTTATTTTATTATTTGATTGTAAATTAGATTATAGTATAAAAATAGATATTTGATTAACAGATTTTTTTATTTTTTATTTTTTTCATTCGAAAATTAATTAATATTAATATTTAATTGATAGTGTTATGAAATAAATGCGGAATAAACTTGATTTTATTAAAGAAAAAACAATAAAATCGTAATAAACTTTGAACTAGGGCTTGGTTTTTAGGTTCAGTCCCCAATATCACCCACTTAATCACAAAATCGACACAAACACATAAACTGCGACATACACAACCAAACCGGCCCGAGACCCACAACCTAGACAAAAAACAACCCCCACAAGTAAGGAAAAACAAAGCAACGGTAGAACAACGGTCAAAAAGAAAAGGAACCACACAAACCGAAGGCTAAACTCGATGTCGAACCCCTTGCAGTTCGAATCGAGACAGGGGAAATGATAGCACCTCTAATCTCCAAAGAAAACAGGAGAAAGAAGCTCGTCGGAAGTCGTCGGAGAATATCGCCAGAATATCGCCAAGAGAGGAGTGTTTGAGAGAGGCGAGAGTAGAGAGAGGTGAGAGTGTTTTAGAGAGAGAGAGAGTGAGGGATGGTCTGTGCGGCTCCTCTCTCTACACAAATATATATATGTAGGTTAGATCAGATCAACGGTCAGGGTTAAACCCCTAGATCAAACGGTCCACAGCAAGTCTAGGTAAGTATATGCGGGTCGGGTCATGTAATCGGGTCGGAGGGTTGGGTCACGGATTATAGGTTGGGGCCAAGTTTAATTGGGCCACAAAATATATATGTGTATGTGTTTGTGTATGGATCCAATAATGGTCTCCAAAATTTTATAACAATCCTCCACCAAATTTTGGTTATGGGTAACTAGGGTCATCACTGCCCAATATTGGATTATATACCTGCACATGAAAAAGATATATTCAAGTTAGTAAAAAAAAATACATTAACTTAGCCTACCATCTACATACACGTAGAACACAACTAGTCATATGTATCAAAGCACATAACTTTCAAACAAGATACAAAATTTTTAATTTTCCAAAACATTGTATCTACAACAGCAGGAATATTTTTAAATCCAATTATTGACAAGCCTACTCCATATCGTAAATGTGCCATACAACAGAAACATATAGCACACAATATACAAACAAAAACAGTAACAAGCTTCACAAGTTTCATATCATTCACAACCAATAATAACATAACACACAGAAGCCAATACCAAAGTCAAGAAACTGATTTCAAACACTCATTATCACCTAATGAGCCCTTATCTTCTTTTAACACTAAACATTGAGACTTACTTTCGGGACTAAACAATTTCCTATCACTCTTAGGTTTATCCACATCTAAGCTCTCAAACGAACCTCTAAATAAAGAAGATGAATCAAAATTACCAAACATAAAGAACACTTTAGGACTATTCCTAACTTCATCTCTAACAAATAGGTAATTTTCTAACTCATTACTATTATCAAAATCAGTTCCTACATTATTTTTAATCTCAGAAACTGTATTTTCAATTTTATTCACAAACTGCCTTGGAGCAGATAAAATTCGAAAATCACCAACAAAAATATCAGTTTCACTAGATCTTTCCTCATTATCAACCATACACTCTACATTAGATAACAACATTTTCGTTCACAAAATCAGTGTATTGCTCAGCAGCAGTTTTCATATACAACAAAGAATCAGAAACAATATCAGCATTAGTTTGAACATCACAATGCACAAATTCTGATTCACAACTAGTATTATCAACATGTATATCACAAAACTGCACATTTATATAATCAGCAACCATGTTCTGATTTTCAGAATGACAACGAAAAATAGATTTTCAATTTCTTTCTCTCTAATGTCAATTATATCAGTCTCCACCTCACTTTGAATACCATTTTTACAAACAGAGGTAACTTCTCTCTCAAAATTGACAAACTCAATTTTAGCATCAATTTGCACATTATCAGCAGATTGAATATTAATTTCGTGTAAACCAGAATGAATATAACCACAATTGAGAACACAGTCTTCCTTCCCAATTTTTATATTTTCGTTTTGTACAGTAAACAATTTTTCAGCAGTATTATGAGCAAAATCATCATTTCCAGAATCAATTTCAGCAACTTCAGTGTTATCAAATTGCACAACTTTAAATTCACAATATTTACATTGCTCAGCAATACAATGCTCAATAGTACAATCAAAACGAGTATCTGATTTCTTAAATTCACTCTCACTCTCATATTCTGAATTTTCATTCTTGAAAACAGGGAGAATTTCAGAAGAAACATTTTTAGAACCCATTTCAGCGATTTTTAAAATAGGAAATTGCACAGTTTTAGGTTCACAAACAGCACGCTGATTACCACATAAATCAAAAAGAAAATCAGACTCTTCAGAATTATTTTCTGCCCCTTCTACCTCAATCAGATTATGCTCCACCTTATTTAAAACACTATTAAAATCTGTACAATTATTAGCAATTTTAGAATCAAACAACTTAGACTTTTCATTCAAACATGGCATAACACCTTCATTAAATGTCACATTATTACTAATAATGGTTTTAAAATCAGGTCTAGAACTAAGCCATAACCTATAACCCATAACACCATAACCCAAGAAAACACAATTTTCAGTTTTCTTATCTAAACCATCAGTGCAAATACATATCACAGTACAACACCAAAACACACGAACATTAGACATGTCGACAATTCTACCCAACCACTTACTTTAAGGAATTTCACCATTAAGGGGGATAGATGGTGTTCGATTTAAAAGATACGCTGCTGTTACAACAGCCTCACCCCAGAATTTTCTAGGTAAACCAGACGATGTCAAAAGACATCCAGCTCTTTCCAAAAGAGTCTGATTTAACCTCTCAGCAACCCCATTAAATTGGGATGCCTTGGGGACAAATTCAAAATTAATACAATTTTGCACACAGAAATTATTAAACCAGATGTTACAAAAATTTAAACTATTATCAATTTTAATACATTTAATTTTCCGGCCAGTTTCACTTTCAATTTGAATTTTCCAATTCTTGAAAACCTTAAACAAATCAGGTTTATTTTTCAATAAGAAAATCCAAATTTTTCTAGAAATATCGTCAACTATAGTTAAGATATATCTACTACCACCATAAGTGGGTTCGTTAGAAGGTACACATAAATCTAAATGTATATATTCCAAAATCCTTTTTGAAAAAGTAACATTTTCAGGGGTTTTTAACGAAAATTGAACTTTATTTAATTTTTCAAGTTTGCACATATTACAAAAGGGAACAACAGAAAATTTCTCATTTTCCAAATAACCAGATTCATGCAGAATTTTCAGACCATTATTCCTTATATGACCTAAACTCTTATGCCATAATTCAGAAATAACAATTTCAGAATTCTCAAAATCAGAACATGCATTAATAGATATAGCAGAGGTTATATACAAGTCATTTTTTAAATCTGCCCTTAAAATCCCTAAAGACTCTTTTGTTATTTTCATGCAATTTAAACCCCACTTTCCTTCTAAACCTAAATTAGATAATCTAACACATGACATCAAGTTGTTTGACAAACCAGACACATATCTCACATCATGCAGTTTTATCACATCACCAGATTTAAATTTCAAATTGACAACACCAATTCCCTCAACTTTACACACACGATTATCAGCCATAGTAACATAACTGTGCATTAAAGCTTTAAATTCAGAAAAAATACTTCTCAAAGGTGTCATATGGAATGTACATGCAAAATCAACAATCCATTCATTTGCACACAAAGAATTTGAAGTTAAATCTGTCCTAACATCAAACACATCCCCCACATTTCGATTCACATCAATCAAATTGGCTAACTCTCTTGCATGTGCTCTTTTATTATTATTACTACTGTTATTATGTCCAGCAATGATTATCAATTTCGAAAACAGTTTACTCAAAAACAGTTTTGAGAAGAACACAGATTGTTTGGCTAAAAAAACAGTTTTATTTTAAAACAGTTTATGAAAAAACAATTTATCAAAAATATGAATTATTTAAAAACAAAATGAGAACTAAACAAATACCACAAATCACAGCACACAAACAAATCAAACACGAGCAAACAATAAAGCTATCTATTACAACATTCACTCGTGACTATTCAACCGAAGGTACTCGAAAAATCACTCACAATAGTGAGGATCGGAGTTTTGCAACCTTGGTATCCCAATAGTCTTTACAATCAATTTGTGCGGAATTAACAGAGTGACTGAAACAGTAGTAACAAAAGTTAAGGTTTTAGATTTTACCCTTGAAGCACTGCAACAATATTTTCCCTACAGTATACAAGAGAAAAATATACATAAACCTATACTCTTTCGAGAATAGGGGTTAGCCAATATATAACAACAGTTATCTACAACAAAGACACTGTTACTCTTCTAACTAAAGTTAGAATCACTGAAACTCACAAAATATAAGGAATACTGCACAGAACGAGCAAAAAACAAAAACAGAGATAGGCCACAAAAAATTCAAATCTATCAAGATATCTGAGAAACAGTTTGGTTTTTAAGCTTTTAATCAAAAACAAATTCACGGTTCTTTTTTTTTTAAAAAAACATAAAAAGATTTTAACCAAACTTTAAAGATTCTATCAATATAGTTAACGGTTTTATCGATCTAAAAAAGAATTTTCAAAATCCAAACCAGTTTTAACAAAACACTTACGATTTTTGAAAA